CAGCCAGCAATTCCTTCCCAATATCCCATCTGTCCCTGCCCTCTGGCAGTGGGAAGCCATTCCCTGTGTCCTGTCCCTCCATCCCTTGTCCCCAGTCCCTCTCCAGCTCTCCTGGAGCCCCTTTAGGCCCTGCAAGGGGCTCTCAGGTCTCCCTGGATCCTTCTCTTCTCCAGGTGAACCCCCCCAGCTCTCCCAGCCTGTTTTGCTGCTCCAGACAGGGCTGGGTGTTGTCTGAACTCAGCCACGAGCCAGGTGAGCTGGAAAATTGTCCAGGAGGAGCCTCCTTCCTGCACTTTCCTCTATAAACATAATTTTCCTGCTTGGAACATTTCCTGTTCCCCAGTTTGGTCTGTGTTTCCACAGTGATTCTGGTCTCCTGGGAACTGGCCTGTGCTCAGAACCTGCTCTGGCACACAAGGGCATAACTGAACAGGGGTGATGTTTTATTAATATTGGGAATGTTTTATTAAGCAGTTGTTCTCATTTTTATTTTTTTTTATTATTTTTCTCCTTCTTATTTTGAAGCAGAAAATAATTTATTCTTTCTTTTTTCTGTGGAAAAACCATTCCCACTCCTTCAGGTCCCACCAGACAGGAGTTATTACAGCCCTCAAAGCAGCTGAAAGCAGCATTTTGGTGGCTGTGAAAGTCCCTGATTTAAACTCAGGACAGAAGATCCATAAGGGATGTTTTCTGGAGGCACCAAAGGAAAAGGAGGGTGGGCAGTGTTTATTAAACACCTCGTGGATAAACCTGTGCCAGGCACCAACTGCATTTCACGTGCAGGTTTGGAACTCTGAGCTGGTTCCTGGACTGGCACAATTCCTCCTCGTGGCACAGCCATTTACCCAGGAGTTGGATAAAACCAGCAGCCAGTCTGGTACCAAATAAAGGGGTTTTAGTGCCAAATCCTCATAAAGAAGAAGGCCATAAGTTGCAGTGATGAAGTGCTGGCTGTGACTGATGCTCTGAGTGCTGGGACAGAGACACTCAGGGAGGTCACTGAGTGTCACCCAGGGCTGGCAAATCTCCCCTGAGAACCTTGTCCCATAAATACAGCGACATTCCACACAGGAGCAGTCCCTGCCCTGTGCTGTGTGGGTATAAATTGCTCCTCAGTGAGCCTGGCAGAGCTCCAGGAGTGTTTGGATGATCATCTCTGGCTCACAGTGTGGCTCCTGAGGACTAAGGGTTGGATCCCTGGGGGTCCCTCCCAACTCAGGGGACACCCTGTCACCCTCTGCAGGAGTGGGGAGCCTGGGGGGGTCATTCTCTTCTCCCATCAGTAGGACAAGAGGGCACAGCCTTGAGCTCCACCAGGGGAGGGTCAGGTTGGACATCAGGAAGGAATTCTTTCCATGGAGAGTGCTCAGCCCCTGGAATGGGCTGCCCAGGGAGGGGGTGGATTCCCCATCCCTGGAGGTGTCCAAGGACAGGCTGGATGTGGCATCAGTGCCATGGGCTGGGTGGCAGGGTGTGGGGGTTGGGTCCTGGCTTGGACTGGATGACCTCAGAGGGCTCTTCCAGCCTGGGTGATTCTGGGATTCTGGGATTCTGATGCCAGGACACGCAGGAGTCCCTCTGGTGTGCCTGCAGTGCTGACTGTCCAACCCCCCTCCTCTCCTCCGCAGTCCCCCCCAACCTGACCGTCCCCCAGGAGAAGTCCCCGCTGGTGACACGGGAGGGGGACACCATCGAGCTGCAGTGCCA